GAACCCATTGTGGCCCTCGAGTCAAAAAGTTTGCCCACCCCTGGCCTAACCGCTGGGAAAAGCAGGAGATCCCTCAGACCCGCTTTGACGTGCTGTTGAATGCCATGTGGCGTCACGAAGCATGTGTGCTGGGTGTCTAGGTCCAGCTTCACATGGTGAGCCCAATTCGTTCACATGTCGCATTGGAATGACCTGTGTTCGGAGCGTGGTCATCCCGGGGAGCTGTCTAATAGAAGGGATTCTAGAAATACTCAGGATTGGGCACAGCCCCGATCCACATCAGCCGTGTGTCCCCAGGGAACTCGTTAACCTTTTCAAGCCCTTACCCGCTCGTTCGTGATGAAAAAAAGAATCAAACGAGAGGTTCCCGGGGGACCTGATTTTAGAAGACTTCACTCTGGAGTGGGACATTGCCTCATTTTTTTCTTTTTTAAAGAGAGGCTGCTGAGCCATAGCCTGGGCTGTATACATGTACTGAGCGGAAACATGTGATATCGGTAACACATTCCCAGCGTAAACAGGAACAATTGTGCCTCAGATACTTTTTTTGTTGTTGTTTTGTTTTTAAAAATATTTTTTTTATTGATTTCAGAGAGAAAGGGAGAGGGAGGGATAGAAACATCAATGATGAGAGAGAATCATGGATCGGCTGCCTCCAGCACACCTCCCCCTCTCCCCCCACCCCAGCCCCGGAGATCCAGCCCGAAACCCAGGCATGTGCCCTGACCTGAAATCGAGCTGTGACCTCCTGGGTCATAGGTCAGCAGCGCTCAACCACTGAGCCACACCGGCTGGGCTTCTTTTTTTTTATTTTTTAGTTTTATTATGATAGTCGTCGCCATCATTAACCTCAGGCTGAGGTTGGTAGAAGCCAGCACTTGTTTTTCCCTGTTTGAGGAAAGCAGGACGGAGACCATCTGAGTGACGTGGCCGTGGAGAACGGTGGTACACGGTGGTGCCTAGGAATGGTGCCCCACCCCCCGGTGGCAGGGCTGAGGTTCAGTATCTGTCTCAGTAGTTGCGGAAATGCCGTCCTGTGGTCTCCCTAAAACTCGGGCATCTGTTCCCTGGTTCCCCTTCTTTTCCATCAGAGACCTGGGTGCCCTGTGCCTCCAGGAGAGGAGAGCTGGGCCCGCTCAGCCTCGCCAGCGTCTGGGGTAGCCGGAGCAGACTCCCCCCCGTCATCTAGAAAAGGGGGGGTCTCCCGCTGCTGTTCTGGTGGGTGCAATGCAGACATCTGAGGTTCTGTGCTTCCTGCCGCTGCTGACGTTCATGTAAAAGGGAATAAGCCAGCCACACCCCAGCAGGAAGGCCAAACGACTTATCTATTTACTTTGCATGTGGCACAGGAGCTAGGACAAGAACTCTGTGAATTGCCGAGCTTGCTAATTAGGCCTCCGTGGACCCCTTCCCTGGGAAGGAAACAATGGTCTGAAGGCTTCGTGAAGACCCCAAAAGCGCAAAGACCCGGGGTCCAGGTTGGACCACACAGGGCACCGTTGCTCCCACAAAGGCTTTCTGAGCTCTGGCCAAAGAGGTGGGTGCTGCCGCTGCACCACTGTCTAGTCCCTGGCCCCCTGGTGACCAACCTGCTCCAACACCCCCTGACACTTCCACTGTCCAGTTAGTGAAAACCTGCCGTGCAATCTCGAGTCTGTGGTGTGTAAAGCATTTGAATCTGCGATGCCTCCGATACCGTTATTTTAGACTCCCTGGGGAGAGGGATGGTATCTTACTCGCCCCCCCCCCCCCCCAGTCTTTGGGTGCCTGTATGTGGAAAGAGGCATATGTGTGTTTGTGTGTGTGTGTGCGCGCGCCCGCACACATAAAAGAAGGCATTTCAGCCCTGACCGGTTTGGCTCAGTCGATAGAGCGTCGGCCTGCGGGCTGAAGGGTCCCGGGTTCGATTCCGGTCAAGGGCATGTACCTTGGTTGCGGGCACATCCCCAGTGGGGAGTGTGCAGGAGGCAGCTGGTCGATGTTTCTCTCTCATCGATGTTTCTAGCTCTCTATCCCTCTCCCTTCCTCTCTGTAAAAAATCAATAAAATATATTTTAAAAAAAATAAAGAAGGCATTTCAAACCATCTGCATCGACAGCCCTATGCAAACACCTTTGCCTACAGGTCACACTTCTACCTCCGTGAAGCGAACATTAGCTAGTGTCTCCCTGGAAAGACCCTCTGTCCCCTTTGCTTACTGAGCACCTCTCTCTTCTTGGCCTCGAGGGTCACTTACCCCCGGTTTGTTCACATACCGAATGGACGGGAACGCCTGTCTCTGAACAGAATGCGAGTGGGGGCAGCGTCTGAGCAGAGTGGATGCGCGGGCAGGAAGCACATTTAGGCACATGCACAGCCCCTCCCAGGAGCAGGGGGCGGGGGCAGGCGGGGCCTCCCCCGGTTCCAGGTGTGCAGCCAGCAGCGGCGCCATCCTGAGGGGTACTCCGCCCGTGGAGGGTGCGTGGGAACCCACAGGGCAGCAGACCGCTCCCCCTGCTGCTCTGTTCTCCCCGATAAGACCCCGATGCCCTTGGTATGAGAGTTCCTGCCCCACCATGACCTTCCCTGAACAGAGCAGACGGAATAGCGAGATTTACTCATATGAGTCGTTCCAGGGAGCCGCAATGCCCCCCCGCCCCCCAGGCCCTTAGAGAGGGGCGCGCCTGTCTCCCCGCTCTCTAGAGGGTCCCTGGCCATCCACCCTGCATTTACGTTTCCGGGAGACCATCCGCAAGCCAGGTTTGTGGCTGTTCTCCGCACCCCAAGACACAGTGTCATGGATGCTCATTCAAAGGCCACCAATGGGCTTCCAGGAGCTGCTGCCAGCGGGGAGTTCTCGGAGGGCAGCCACCGGGGCAGGGCGAATGGTGATGCGGGCTCCCACCCGGGAGAGGAGGGGCTTCAGGGCCATGTTCCTGCCTCGAGACGCCTCGTGAGGCGTGTTCACTGTTAACGTTCTAGACGCAGGGACCTGCCCGCCGTTCAAGGTGCCTCTGAAGAGCACACCGGGGTTCAGCCCTCACCCCCCGCTGTGCGCCCCTCGCGGGCGGGGGGGGGGGGGAGCGTTTTCCTCGAAGCGGCTCAGAGGCTCTCATCCACGTGCAGCAGCCCCGGCTGACCTCCCTGTGCTCTGTCCGGGGTGGGTCCCCGCAATCAACCCGCCTCTCCCAGGCACAGGGAGTCCATCCCGACGTCAATGAAAGCGCCTTCCTACAGTCAGCGGGCCAGCCACGTGACCAACGGCTGGGCAGGGTTTAACTCAGAAGCAGGTGCCCATCTCTCTTACCCTTTTATAAAAATGTTTTTATCCATTTCAGAGTGAGGAAAGGAGAGAGAGAAACATCTATGTTGAGAGAGAATCATGGATCGGCTGCCTCCTGCACGCCCCACACTGGGAATCGAGCCGGCAACCCGGGCCTGTGCCCTGACCGGGAATTGAACCGTGGCCTCTTGGCTCACAGGTCGACGCTCAACCACTGAGCCACGCCGGCGGGGCCCTTTACTCTGTTCATCAGGGCGTCTTCTGCTGCCCACATGTCTCTTTTGGAAATTCTTTATTATCTTTTGGTAAAATCACCTAAAACACGGCCTCAAACCCCCTCCTGGAAAGAGGAAGGGCAGCAGTGTGTGGGCCCATTCGTTACTAAGTAAACAGGACAATTTCTTTTCTCCCAGGGCTGGTGGGTGAGGGAGGCAGCCATCATCTCTCTGACACTTTTTGCAAACCACCTTCCTCTTTCTTCCAAGGGACTCCCCTTAAAACCATTTGTGACCCTTGAGACAACACTTGCAAATAGACTGTTTTCCAGGGAGACAGCCTGACCAGCCCCTCCCCCAGTGTCAGGCAGGGGCGGCCCCACCACAGATAAGCCTCCCGGGCCACAAGCACAGGATCTGCCATCTGTCCTTGCAATTGCTGAGCCTCCATATTTGGCCGAGCGACGGCCGAGGAGGGGTATGGATCATTCAGCAACAGTCTTCCCGTCCGCCATGCAATGCAGGCTCCGATCGCACAGCACAGCGCCATGCCCCTGGCCACCTGCATTCACTCCCCCGTGCACCGCATTTCTCCCGGCCTGCGAGTTCATCAGCCTCTGGCCTAGCAAGGCCCCCGGGTGCAGGAAAGGCCTGCACCTGCCAATCTCCATGGCCCTCCCCCCGGCCCCTCCCCCACACCCCCTCCCCCACGCCCCCTCCCCGAAGCACTGCATTCTGGTGAGTTAGAGACTCCTTAGGAATACGCGGCAGGTTAACTGCTTGTCTGTAATCCTGCTCAGCACAGCTCAGGACAAATGCACATGGACAAACCTCGTAAGACCAGATGATGTCACTTCTTTCACCACATGCGTGCATGCCCACATGGAGCCATCATGTATGCATGTGTGTGTGTGCGCGTGTATAATTTTTTTGCTTACCATGGAAGAGGGCTCGCAGTATGGTGCCCAGACTCGCAGGCCCAGTTTTAGGAGCAGATGGGAGCACCATAGTGCTCTGCCAGGAGAAGGCTTTTATGGCGTTGTTTGTGTTTTTGGTAAAAAAGCCATCCATAGTCCTAGTGTCTGTACCCAGCCCGGCTTCACGCACCGGGGCCGGCTGTGTGCATTTTGCGCATTTGAATTCCTAATCACAGCGCATAGGATTCTAGAGGCGGACTCGAAGGTTGAAGACACAAACCCAGGAATATGGCCTCAGGGCCCCTGGGAGCCCCGAGGCTGTGCACACAGCCAGGGAGGCCGGGAACCAGCCCACCCGCACTCACACAGGTACCTCTTCCCTGCAGGCCGCCCCGCAGCGCCAGAGCCAGGGCCAGAGCCAGCGCCAGAGCCAGCGCCAGGGAAGGGGGGCAGGTAGTCCCAGGCACCCCGCGGGGAGCTCCCCGAAGGTGGGGGGGGAGGGGATTGGGCACTCCGGGCGGCGCGCACCCTGGCACCCGGTCCAGGTCCCGAATCCCTGGAGCTGCCGGGAGGACCCGCGCGGTGCCCAGGCCCTGGCCCACCTACCTCCACAAAATAGAAGCAGGGCAGGAGGGTGACGCTGTCCTTGATCACTTTGCCCTTCGGCCTCTCCTTCGCCGACATCCCGCCGCCGGCCCGGCCGGGTCCGGGTCCGCGTCCTCCCGGGCGAGGTGCGCACCGCGCAGCAGAGGGGAGCTGCCTGCTCCAGCCGCCTGCGCCGCTCGCTGATGTCACATTCCCGCGGGCGCAGCGCCCCCGCCTGTCCCCGCCTCTCGGGGCGCAGCCCGGCGGTCCTCGGCCCCTTCCCTCCCTGCTCAGGTCCCGCGCCCCGATTCCCCGCTGAGATGACCAGCTCTCGCTCCAAACTGTTGCTGCAATGGCCTCGCCTCCCTCCCCCTCCCCTCCCTCCCGCTCCCCGCTCCCCCGCCCCTGCCGGCTGTGGGAACCAGACGTCAGACTCCGAAAGGGGGGCGCGCCCCTGGATTCTGCAGCGCTGCGCCTGGGGAGCGAGGGGAGCGAGGGTCCCCCGGGAGCGCTGAGCTCGGGATGCTGGAGCGCACAGCCTGGCTCCGGCGCCCCAACAACCACCCAGTGAAACCCAGGCGTGTGCCCTGACCCGGAATCCAATGGTGACCTCCTGGCTCCTGGGTGGATGCTCAACCACTGAGCACCCTGGTGGGGGGAGGGGGGTAACCCTTGTTTTGCACTGCACCCCGAACACTCGGAGTGAGCTGTGCTGTGCGTTTGGCTTACTATATTCTCATCTGTTCTCCCCAGGGCAGGCCAGGCATGAGTCGGAGGAAGGACAGGTGCCACTTCGCCCCTGTTCACCCCGCCCCCCTTCCTAGCTTGGCTCTCAGGCCACGGGTTTGCTCAGAAACGCCCCTTGGTGCTCTCCGTGGCCTACAACCTGTGTTCAGTCTCTAGCGTGGCATTGGGCTGCCGTGGTCCACCCTTCACCAGCCTGTCCACCTCACTCCCCGTTCTCCCAGAGCAGACCCCACATCCAGACACCCCAGCCTGCGGGCGTTGCACAAACATGCTCTCCTGCAAGCAAGCCTTTCCCGGCTCTTCCTTCTCCCATTCTCGAAGTTTCCAATGAAAAGCAACTTCCTGATGAGGAAGAGGGAGAGAGATAGAATCATCAATGATGAGAATCACGGATCAGCTGCCTCCTGCATGTCTCCACTGAGGATCCAGCCCACAACCCGGGCATGTGCCCTGATCAGGAATCGAACCGGTGACTTATTGGTTTCTGGGCTGAAGCTCAACCGCTGAGCCACACGCAGCCAGGCCTGTGATTCTATTTTTAATTAATGTATTGGGGTGACGTTGGTGAATATGGTCACACAGGTGTCAGGTGTGGGTTTCTGTGTCACCAGGTATGCACATTGCACTGTGTGCCCACCGCCCACAGTCAGATCTCCTCCCACCACCGTCCATGAGGACCCTCTTCCCGCGGCGGCTCTTTCCGACTGTCTTTGGACATGGTTTGTAGACCAGGTCGCATTCTGCCTTGATTGTCTTTAGTTTTTCTTCTCCAACAATATTTTGCTTCTTGGGAGTAGGCGCCACCTGTCACTCGTCTTTCTTTAACCTTTTCAACCTTAGCACAGTATTTTGTATACATGGAGCTCAGTGAGTATTTACGGAGCACAGACATGTTATGATCTCTACCCTCTCCCACAGGGGGAGGCTGGCCCTGGAGAAACAGAGGCTGAGTCAGCAGCACTGATGACCTCAGGGCTTTGTGGTCCCGGGGTCTGTTGGGGTGAGGTCTCACTCTCTGACTTTCTCTCAAAGCTCTGAGCACACGGGCACCTTTCACCAGAGGTGAGAAGGGAGTCCGACACATGAGAATGAATGAGCACCGATTTTAATTACCCAGTTCTCGCGATTCTCCTCTGATGGTGCCCTGGGCACGTGGCTGTATATAATAATTATCCAGTTCTCGCGATTCTTCTCTGATGGTGCCCTGGGCACATGGCGTGTATAAGAATGAGTCCCCCAGGAGAGTTTGCAGCATCGATTGCTGGGCTGTGGGAGATGCCTCGGTTTTCTCACGAGCGAAGGTCTTGGGAAGGAGGGGCCAGGACTCGGAGCCCTGCTTTCCTGGGTGAGAGTGAAGGGAGTCTCCGGGTGACCGAGGGCGGCCTGGACAGGAGGTCTCCTGGCGGAGGAGACACACAGGTCACTAGAGGGACTTCTGGCTTGGTGACCCCGACTCATCACAATGGGGTGCAGGAGGTGTTAGGAAGGACCAGCGCCGGAGGCATATGTAACTGAGGTGGGAGCTGTTCAGGCCCTGGTTCTGGCGGGTGCTGTGCCTGCAGGAAGGATGGATGCGCATGCGATCGGGAGGGCGAAAACTCGGACCCCGTCGTCCCAGCGTGGGTGCTGCTGCGCCTGGGCAGGTGCCCGTTACCCGGAGAATCGGAGCAGCCCTGCGGAGCTTGCCTTGGCCTGGGGGGGCTGGGGGGCAGCAAAGGGAGAAGCACAGCTTTCGAGGCTCTCTTCTGGCACAGGGTGTGGGGACCAGTTAGCCGCTGGGGTCCTTGGGCTGCACAGCAGGGATGGTGAATGACAGCTCATCGGCCCAATCCAGGCTGCTCTTCTAACTGGTGTCATTGGAACACCCGTTTCTCCCTGTAATGTCTGGGGCTACTTGGACAGGACAGGGGCAATTGAGTAGCTGTGACAAAGAGTGTATGGCTGACCCAGCCAGTGTGGCTCAGTGGTTGAGCATTAACCCATGAACCAGGAGGTCACGGTTCAATTCCTGGTCAGGGCACATGCCGGGTTGTGGGCTCGATCCCCAGGGTGGGGCGGGCATGATTCTCTCTCATCACTGATGTTTCTCTCTCTCTCTCTCTCTCTCTCTCTCTCTCTCTCCTCCCTTCCTCTCTGAAATCAATAAAAGATATTTTTAAAAAAGATTTGACAGACGTGAAAGCTCTTCCCTAATATGCCATAAACTGCAGTAGAGTAATATTTTTAATACCACATTTAAATTTCAGACATCCATTTGCCTTCGCAAATGTTATTCAGAGAAAATTTTAAACTTTGAAATGTCATAAAATGGCAAGAGCCACATTACACAAATATCTTTAATTTGTTCAATCTGTGCTAAGTTCTCTCCAAGTTATTTAAGATGGCCCGCCAATGAGAGTAAATGAACCAATATTTCATGGGGAAGCAGCTGGAAGCTGGGTCTCCATGTCATTTGAACACAGACACCAACTGGTATTTGATTAGAGAGGAAAATGCTGGACTTTAATGAAAATAACAGTCTGTCCCATTGTTGACCAGTTACCCATCATGGCAACACAATCTTCGGAAGTCTGTATACTGAGCCCTGGCCGGGTGGCTGAGTGGGTGGGGGCCCTGTCCCATCCACCAAAAGATGTCGAGTTGGATTCAAGAGAAATGTATCTGATATAGGAGTAAAGGAAACCCTATAAAAAACTAGAATTATTTATTTTTGGAATTTGCTCCTTAACGTTAAGTGAAAATGTATATGTTTGTGCCAAATCTAGTTTAAAGGCCAAAGTACTTTAAACTATGAAACACATGAACAGAGAAATGGACACAAGAGTTATGACGCATACATTGCTTAATGAATCTTTATGGTTAAAATTTACTATGTTTATAATTATGAACCCGAACAGCGTTAACTCCACCCAAGGAGGATAAATCCATCCTGACGAGTTAAAGCCAGTTGTTTACATCGCACACGTCACATCTTAGATTGCATTTTGGGGTCTGATACAACACAGCGAGGGGGGGGGTGACCAGTTATATCCGTCCTCTGTGATGGCACGTCCCTCGCGCTCTGGGACCCGCCTTGAGCGGCGGTGTGGACGGTGTGGATGGGCCGGGGCGAGTCCCCTGGTTGACGAGCATCACAGCCTCACCTGTGGTGTCAGCCCAGTTCCATCAGCACTGAAGACAGACCCGCGAGGGAGCCCAGCCCAAACCGTCAGACACGAAACTGTAGGCCGGACCGATGGTTCCGCTAAATACTGGAGCGATTCGTTCCACAGCCTGTGTCAGCGGCACGGCTTCTGCCTGGGACTCTCTGGCTGTCGAACCTTCTTTCTTCTTCTCCGAGCCCAGCTTCTCTGGCGATGCCAGGAGGTTGTCAAACAGCCTTCAGAACACATTCCTTTTCGGCAGAACTCAGCCAGACGCCGGGTTCCTGCTGCTCGTACCTAAGAAGTCTGACGGGCGGCCTTGGAATGAGACGGGATTCTGATATTTGAGCGCATTTTTATTCCCTATCATTTATGTCATGTCATGATCCCTTCTGTTCAAAGTAGCTAGTACACAGGGCGGCAAAGGCAGGTGTACAGTTGCGAGCACGCAAAAACTCTGTTTATTCTGGTATTATTTTTATTAGTTATTGTATTATTTCCCAAGCGAACAACTGTAAACCTACGTTTGCCCCGCCCTGTGTTATACGCTAACTTACGTGGAGAGCCGATGAAACGCGTTGCAATAACCCATCAAGCAGTTGTTGGTATAGAAAGGAATTGAGAATGAGTGGGAAAAGCTGATCATGTTCCCTGTCTTCCCCGCCACCCTTGGTCCCTGGCAAGCACAAAGGAAGAGTGAACGGTCCTGGAAGAAGAGAGAGAATTAGAAAAGGGAAGCGAAGTGAGAGCTATTGGCGGTGGATCGCCATGAAGGGGCATGACACTCCTCTCTCCCCTGCACTGCCGCCCAGGCAGCTCCAGGCCGACAGGAGCGCAGGCGGCTGGCCACGTAGGGGCAGAGGGTCCCGCAAAGCGTTGGTTGGTTCGGCTGCTCTGAAACCAGCCTCTTCCCCGGACGCCAGCCCAGTCACCCCAGCTCTGCCTGCAGCGCCCCAGAAGCACCGCCCTGGGTCCCACAGAGGCATCTGCACTGAATTCTGTTCTTGTGTCCCTGGCGAGGGCCCCTGAGATGCATGCCACAGACCCGCTCTTCCCCCAGGGCCACCCCGGGCCGGGTCGGTAAGCGCTTTGCAGAGACTGGCTTCTCCCCAGCAATCCCAGGTCTCACAGAGCAGCTGGTGTGCATGCGAGGCCCAGGGGTCACATGATGCGTGAGAGCAGGAAGGGGATGGAGGATGCGGGCGCGAGGAGGTGCCCACGCCATCCCCAGAAGCATCCGCAACCGCGCAGGCCGCGTTCACAGTAGAAACATAATCATGGCTCCACTCTTGAGGCGACGGCCATGTTGCTGTTGTTTTCTTTTTTTTTTTGAAAATATATTATATTTTATTGAT